TCACTCCTCCTCCCATCACTCCGCCCCCGTTCGCTGCTCCCCCGTTCTGCGTCACCCGCGGCAGCCGCGACTTCAACTCCGTCATGAAGTGCACCAAGTCCCTCAAGGTTTGCAGGCTGTRCCCGCTCAAACGCTGATACAGATCGATAATAGCGATGACGTCATCGTCAATACCTGTGAAATGGTCGATGAGGACGCTCAGCGGCGTGCACCTGACAGTTTCCACGGCCTTCCTGTAGACGCGGGCGGTAATGCCGAAGCTACCCCTGCCGAACCTGTAGCCCCACCTGCCGTACCAGGACCCTCCGTAAGCAACGCTGTGGAGTAGGCGGAACTCCAGCGACCGCTTCTTCGAGACATCCTCCACGCTCACTTTCCTGAGAACAACAGAGACGTCCAAGCGCGCTGCTGAGAGATCCGAAAGAGCAAACAATCAACTACACCAAACAAGGTGGCACTTGGAAAAACGAACACACACACAAGAAAGAAAGAAAGAAAGAAAGAAAGAAGGGAAGAAAGAAGGGAAGAAAGAGGGGAAGAAAGAAGGAGAGAAAGAACGAAACAAAGGGATGTAAGTCAAAGAGAGGAGGGACGGAAAAGTCAAAGAGAAGGGAAGTCAAAAGAACCGGTTGGCAAAAAACAAAGGCTTTTTTTTTTCTTTTTTCGGAAGGGCATATTGGAGACATAGGGGTTCGGAGAAATATCGTATAGAGAAGAATATAGCTTTTAAGAAAAATAAAAAATAAAAAATCGTATACCGGTTTCGTAGTAGAAATACCGTTTCTTGGAGAATTGTTGTCTCAAGATTTTCTACGCAGATTTACCCGTAGTTTTCATGTTTGCAATGGTCCTCGCTCCGCGATCCAACATTCAACATTTATCTGGACTGTGCTTGCAGCAGATACATTCTGGCTGATTGCACCATTTCGAGCGTATTATGACCATGTCCAGGTCCAGATGCATTTCGAATATTGTGTTGTTTTCCCGCTCCTCACCCTTTTTTTCTCCTTTTTGTTTTTCTTCTTCTTTCATGTATCCGCCCACCCTCAGAAGACCCCACCCACCCCCTTCCTCCTCTCCTCAATTTCCCCGGCGCACCCCTACCCCCTGTCTCTTATACACATCTAGATGTGTATAAGAGACAGCTACCCTAGTGTTAACCACCCGGGACCACCACCCTTCACCATCATTGTATGGCGACCTTACCAGACAGCGGTTGCACCACTTGCACCCACCCGGGCTGAGCATCTCAGGTCGACTGCTTTCACGTTTGATCATTATCGACTCATCCAGCTGGCCAGGCCCCAGGTAATTCACAACTATTTCATTCTTTTCTTCTGCCCCCACGAGGTTAAAAAAGAAAAAAAAAGAAAAAAAGAACGGGTAATTCAGAGAGCTATTTCACTCTTCTGCCTCCCTCAGGATACCAACCAACGCCCATCTTTTTATCAACAGTTATTTGGGGCCACTACTTATATTGGGTTACTTCACGATTGATTCGGTCACATGGAAATTGATGGAATGATGGGATGGAATGGAATGGGATGGGAAGGGTTGGCCGCACTACTTATATTGTTAATCGAACGAAAGAGAAAAAGAAGAAGAACAAGAAGCAAAGCATGCATTGAGAGGACCTCTACTGACGGTGGTGACAAGAGCGCAGCCGTCACAGGGGGAACCTCCAATGAGAGATGGCTCACTGTCGCTCGCATCTAGTGATGGGGGAAGCTGCACCTGGTCCTGCTGGAAACAGGATCTAACGTCCGACTTACGAAATATGAGTTTTTTTGTTCGCATTTTCACGCCCCAAGTCTGTGCCGCTACATTCACGTTATTGGAACGCCTCTCTACTCTACTCATTTCCTTCCTGTGCGGGTGTTCGTTATCCAGCTCTCTTCTTTCGCCACTGTAACACTGTTTACGCGTTCTTGTTGAGCTTGGAGTGTTCTCTTTCAAGTTCTATGGAAAATATCGGAGCTAGATAACGCCAACGCAATACCGAGACAAACACGGAGTTCAGGCAAAAGAAAATTTGCATGAGTATGTGGAAGGGGGGGGAGAGAGAAAGAGAGAGAGAGAGAGAGTAGAGAGAGAAATGAGTAGAGAGAGAGAGAGAGAGAGAGAGAGTCTCAGAGAGATGAGTCGAGAGAGAGAGAGAGAGTCTCAGAGACGAAGAAGAAGCCTCAAAAAGGTAAGCAAACGCAATACCGAGACAAACACGGAGTTCAGCCAAAAGAAAATTTGCATGAGTATGTGGAAGGTGAGAGAGAGAGAGAGAGAGAGAGAGAGAGAGAGAGAGAGAGAGTCTCAGAGAGATGAGTAGAGAGAGAGAGAGTCACAGACAGAGAGCCACAGAGAGAGAGTCTCAGAGAGAGAGAGAGAGATGAAGAGAGCGTACCGCGCTCGAAGCATGGTGCAGATGCGATCCCACAGATCCATGAGCTCCCTGCCGCTTAGGTATTTGGAACCCTTCTCGCGACCGTTGATTCTAGTGAGATGACCGTAGCCGTTGGAGTGGAATATACCGTGGAGCAGATGGCTCTCCAAATCGAAAAAACTCAGCTGCCCGGTCTCTGTCCCGCAGAACGTGCAGAGCAGCATGCTGGACGGAACAATCTGATCGCAATGGGGACATGTGTTCCTCCCTTTCCCAAAAAACGGCGCGTCGTACACATCCCCCGCAGGCAAAATGAAGTGATATCGCTTATTTGATACTGGATGATGGCTCCAACCTGCACTGGCCCAGTCACACAGAAAGTTTGCAGCCAAGAAACCCAGAATTACCTTTCTCGTGATTTCCACCACGACCAAGGACCCTATGGTTTTCTGAACTTTTTCATCATCGGATTCCCATCATCACAATCATTGTCATGCATCAGCATCAGCATCAGCATCCTCGTCATCGCTTCATCATCATCATCATCATCATCAAGCACACGTGACGTGGTTAACCAGGGTGTTTTTTTTCGCCGAATTTTGTCGTAATAATAGTCGTATTGCCCTGATTTTTTTGCTCTCTTCTTGTTTTTCTTAATGTGTGATATGCAGGTGCTGTAGGGTACGCCATGTGTGCCAGTTTTGACATGTTTGGATCAATCAATCATGAACTATTTGGCATTTCGTTGGATTCCTTGGACGCTTTCATTCAAAAGTGTCTTTGTGTTAGGGTTTTATAGTCTTTTTGTGTTTTTTTCTTCGTTCTATTTGGCCTGTTTGATTTTTCGATGTTTGGACAATGGGCCGAGCAGCCCCAGCCCCAGCCCCAGCAGCAGGACCAGCAGATTCATCCTCCTTCAAGCGCTGTGGTGAACATTAGCAGCATTAGCTTCCTTGAAGCTCCTGATGATGACGGAGTCACGGGACCGGTTTACATTAGCTCCCTTCAGGGCTCTTCAGGCGTTCGTTCAAACAAGCCGTAGACTCGTAGAGTGAAGCGTCCGCCGCCTAGACCATGTGTGTGTTGCTTTTCCTTGGAATGTTTCAGTGCAACGAGTTGTTCTGTGCTGTTTACCCTCTTGATAGAGGGGTTTCCTTCGAATAAGTAAGCTGTCCAGTGACACTCTTGTGTGCTTGTCACTTGTTGGTCAGACAGCAAAAAGAGTCGGTCTGTTTTGGCCGCGCTTGTTTCGGAGATCTCTGGGCGCTTGTTCCGGTCAGCCGGCTACCTCACGTCACGTGACCTCAACAGTAGCACTCGGTGACTCTACCGTCTTCACCGGAATAGACCTAAGACCGCCCGGTCATAGTGCCTGTAGAGGAATGTGTGCATTGGTGTATCTTTCGCTTTCCATTCTCATGCTACCTGTTGCTTAGCCGACCAGTACTTTCAGTTCAACAGGGGCTGTTGTGGTGAAAATTCACACACACACACACACACACACACACACACACACACACACTCACAGACAGACACAGAGAGAGAGAGAGAGAGAGAGAGAGAGAGAGAGAGACCAGCGGGTTGGACACCTACGGTAGGGCGGCATGAGTTCCAGGTAGAGCCAACTGTTGGCGCCATGGTTGCTTTGTCTGGAAATACGCGGACGGTCCGGACCAATCAACGAATTGCTGCCGCCAAAGGTTAACTAAATACCTACGCTGACCCGGTCAGGGTCTGGACTGTGCGAGTGCACATCATGCGCCTGCCCGTCTGCACCCTGTAGGCTGTAGGTGAACTGTGACAGGGTTTAGGTGCACTGTGACAGGGTTTACGGAACAGGGTTTATGGTGATTTGGATCCGGTGGGTGAGCATTTACCATTCAAGAAACTAGACCGGTCTGTAAGAACCGTCTATTCCGCTTATACTCGTAGTAACCACCGGTCCACCGTAGGGATCGGACTACGGTAGAGTGGCACTGGCTACGTTAAGTACCTACCGACGCTACCATCTGGTGTCGCCAATTCTGCTCATGGTTGCTGCCACCATCTTGGTCTGCTGCGATTTCCGGTACGAGAGTGAATGGTTTTTTTTTTTTTTTTTTTTTTTTATTATTATTATTATTTTAAAGGCTAATTCTTTAAGCCCAACCAATTCAATTACCTGTCAAATCTGGACAGGACGGCCTTTCAGGCCTTTTTTATTGTCATTATATGGTTTGAATGCTTAGAAACCCATACGTTTACTACTCCGTCCCCGAATACGGTTCAGGTCGGTCTGTATTACATATAAGCGGGCTATGCCTCTGAGCTTGTGCAGCTGCCTCTTTCCCGGCATTGTACCCCTTTACCTGCATCAGCCTGGTTGTGCCTCTGGTGATTCGCCCACTGCTGGATGGTCACAGTAAGGTTACTTGTGGGTGATAAAATGAACAAGAGAAGAGTTAACAGGCAGAGATTGGTGGAAGGCTAAGGCTAAGTAAGAAGTATCCCATTCATTTCCTGGTGTTCATTGACTCGACCTTACTAGGGGCGTGTATTTCTCCAGTGTTCTGTTCGCCTCGCGTCGTCCACTTTACCACCACGACAGCCATGAGATTCCCATGTAGTTGGAGAGAACCTTCGACTTAGGGCCTAGTTGCACTACTCGCCATCCGCCAACACCTGGAATGCATTTGGACAGGTTCCGGTCGATGTGCATTCAAAATATATTGGCGGATGGCGAGTAGTAGTGCAACTAGGGCCTTACTCCTCCAGCCCTAACAACCAATCAACCAAACAAACAAACAAACCAAACAAACAAACAAACAACCGACGTTAAAACAAACAAACAAACAAACAAACAAACAAACAAACAAACAAACAAACGACTGATGTTCATTTGTTGATGTCGTTAGCGAGATTACCAACTAGGGCATCGTTCAATTGAGGTCCTCCGTCGACTTACCAACACAACGACAATGATCGCAGTGTAGTCGACGAGAATACTCGACTTGCTCCTCGATCACTAGCAGCTGAAATCGTGACCCTTCCTTTGTCTCCATGATCAGAGTCCAGGAGGCCATGCCATCAAATGTAGACGAACCCACCTGCTCGGCATGTTCCTCAAGAAATGTCTCTATGTTCTGCGGCAAGAAGCGGAAAAGCACAAATACAACAAGACACGTTTGGACAGATGCATACAGTATCAGACAGAATCTGACAGCTGCTGCTTAATGGACTGTAGTTTCTTCCCCTTCTACTCCAACATCTTCCATGGTGTGCATGCACGTTTGCCCCCATAGCGCACACAGAATCACACTCTGCTACCCGTAATAATGGAGCATGATGTTGGGCCTTTGCTGGGTTGGCTTGGCTTGACGTGGCTACATGGGAGTTGTCTTGGCATTTACTTTCTTAAATCATTTGCTCTTCTATTCTGACCCCTCCGCCACCTTCTTCTAGACTCTTCCCTTCCCCCTTCTTTCTCTTTTTTCTATCTCTACATACAATGATAGCCTGTCGTTGCGTGAGGCTCTGCTGTTGGTGTGATCATTTGATGCTCGTCTCTCATACATAGCCTGTCGTTGCGTGAGGCTCTGCTGTTGGTGTGATCATTTGACGCTCATCTCTCAATCGATTATTCCAGAGTGTTTAGAGCTGATGAGGGTTAATCCTATTAAGCATTCATAATAATAATAATAATAATAATAATAATAATAAAATAACGAGAAATTCATGTGTTCAATGCATGTCATTCACACACTACGCGTGTAGAGGTCCGGGGACAAGCTCCACCAAACGGATCACATAGAGCAGCCGTAATAACTTCAAACAGTGCCTTAAAAATAAAAAAAAAGAATTAAAAAAAAATCAAACACTGCTAAAGCCTGGTCCCAACAGACAGTTACATACTTCGACCCGATTCATCAGCTAACAGCCATTTAGTTAAAACTTAAAACTTAAAACTGACATATTTTTACCATTTTACTAAATTGCGCTTCCGAAAAAAAAGAAACAATACTTTTGAGCATTTTTTTGTGGCCCCTCTGATGGTCCGACACCCCAGGTCGCTGGATGTATTTGCATGGCACTTTCCGTGCGCGTACATTAGATAGCCCTGTGCCTTGGGGATGAAAGCCGGCCAATTGTCTGGTCATCTCCAATGACCTTGGAAGGCTACCAGAGTCGGCCGGAACCACTTCACCGACCGGGCCAAAATATTTATATTAACATTAATAATATTAATAATAATAACAATACACAGTAATAATAGTAATAATTTTATGTTTTATATTAAATATGGTCTAGAATCTAGATGTGACCCTGAGGCAAAAGTTGAGCAGTTTATTTTTCTGCATAAGATAGGTTTTTCCCGTATTTTTTAGACGTTTTCCGTTTTTTTTTCTTTTTTGCTAGGACCTTCCCTGGTCGGACTGGTCCTTGCACGGCCGGCCGGGCCGCCCAGGCAAACAAGGTGCTCCGGGCGGCCCGGCTGGTAGCCTAGCTGGGAACCCAAAATTGCTCAAACGTATCCTCTGGCCTAGTCGGAGTCTAAAGGGTAAGGCTGAGCCGAACGCGGCGTAAAGGAAGGTGGCTGCAGCTAGCACACCCGTGAGGAGAGAAACGAAAGTGGAGCGGGAAGGCAACCAAGGTAGATATGGAGCCAGTATCTGAGGTTCAGTGAGAAGGAGACAAGAAGCTAATCCGGAGGGAGACTCTGAGCTTCAGCAGACGGGAGGAAAGGACCTGGGCAGCAGAGTACCAATGCAGTGAAAAGACGAGCTGCAGCGCAAAAGGAGACAAGCTAGCGCGTAGGTATGTTGCCAGTATCTGAGGTTCAGTGAAAAGATGAGCTGCAGCCCAAAAGGAGACAAGCTAGCACGTAGGGGTATGGAACCAGTATCTGAGGGAGACTCCGAGCTTCAGCAGACGGGAGGAAAGGACCTGGGCAGCAGCGTACCAATGCAGTGAAAAGACGAGCTGCAGCGCAAAAGGAGACAAGGTAGCACGTACCAGGCAGGAGGAGAAAGCGCAGACTGAAGCAGCCCCCCCCAAAAAAAATAATAATAATAAATTGTAACCACAGGTAATGGCGAGGTGGGGGACCACCAGAGGCTGGGTCGGTGAGGAAGGAGGCAAGCTGAAGTTCGTCCCTGAAGTGAAGAGGGAGTCAGACTTCAGACTGCAGACCATAGTCGTGGTGTAGATAGAGAAACCGGTGGCTATAGGACTAAGAAGATTGGCGAAAGCCCCTGACACGAGTGGGTGAGTGGAGGGTCCGAGGGGCTTCGGGGGGGGGGTTGTACGAGAAGGATGATGATAGTTGCATGCCTGACGAAAAGGGCCGTCGAAGTCAGCAGGGCAGCCGGGCTCGCCGAAGGTCGTAACAGGGAAGGAGCGCTGAGCACGCCGCCTCTTACGCGCGCGTTCTGCGTAAACTACCATGATCTCCTCCTCCGCCACTTCCTCCTCCACGAACGCCACCGCCACCACCACCTGCTGCTTTTCTCTCCTCTTGGTTGTCGCCCTCTTCCTTGTCTTGCCTCTCCTCAGCTTTTCAACGAGACGTCGTTGCGGTCGATGTCGTACTCGCCTTTTTGGCACTTGCTGTTAGATGCTACTGACTGACCCGGCAGGCTTGCCTGCGCCTTGTTGCGCGTCCTGCAGAACATGCCTGTTAGATGCTACTGACTGACCCGGCWGGCTTSCCTGCGCCTTGTTGCGCGTCCTGCAGAACATGCCATAGTGTTCGGTCGATGGATGCCCCTCGCAAATGCGCGCCCGTYGTGTGGGGGCGGTGGAGTCAGGCTTGTCAGTGCGAGCGCTACCGGGTAGGGAGGGAAAGCGCGCGAGAAGAAGAGCGGTTGACGAAGCAGACAGATGCACGCGCGAGCGTGCGGCGATGGATCGGTGGCCTGGTCGAGAAATCGACACCGTCGATCCGTGACCAGGAAGATCCGCCTACAGCTGTGTGGCATCGGCTTGGCCACCAGGGGAGCCGGCGGGAGTTTCCACTGCGGATGATGAGTAAGCGAGCGAGCGAGGGAGGCACAGCAGTCTGTCCGCTTCCCGACAAAGGACAGCGGACATGAAGGAGAGAACG